ACTGTAAGCAATGTCATCAAAATAAAAGCACATATATTATGCTATCTTTTCTTTAACTGTTATCAACCAAAACAAATAAAGAAATCAATGATTGATTAATTATATATTTTTTTATTAAAAAAATTTACAAAAAAGAAAAGAAATTATATATATAAAGAAAGTGAAATATATATTAGACGATGGATTTGATGTGGTGGGAGGGAAAAGATAAAGATGAGTGGAGTACGTATAATAACTCCATTTTGCAGTTTTAGATATTTATTAGTTGGCATGGCACGGGAATGGGAATATATATATATGTACACATTCATATGTGGTTTCCACACCAAAGTGGAAATCGTCCTCTTAGCTCCATCACATAGGCATGCTCGTAACGTGGCTTACACACCACTCATTTTTTCCTCTTGAAAATCAAATCTCTCATAGAAATTATAATTAGTAGTACCACTTCCATATCACTTCAAACTTCAAATTACATACGGCGCCATTTCTAGCCAGGCACCTAATTAATCTGAACAAATTAATTAATTCACTGTATATATATATATGGTGGTGCTTGATTAGCTGGCGGCCTGATCAATTAAGCTAAGAAATGGCATAATTAAGCCACAAAGCTGGCACTAAAATATATTACCTTATCTTAGCATGTTAATTTAACATGAAATTTTCGGGATCCGGCCGCCCTCCCCCTTAGTAATTTGGCAGATATTTCTTTAGTTCAGTTGGTCATAGAGATCTAATTAATGTTTCAGTCACTATAAAAAAACAAGCCACAAAACAACTTGTGGAGTAATAAAACATATCAATGATCTGGTTGAAAGGTCTTGTTACCAAAGAAGATATTATGTACTTTTTGTACGTTTTTAGTCTTGCTCTCCGGCCCCAACGTCCTTCTCCTCTTTATTGATCGCCCCAAATATGGACAAATCCCCGACCATATATGTGCACCAAATTTAAAGTCTTCATTTCTTTTTCCCCTCTTTAGTAAAAAAAATGTGTTAATTATATTCATATACTATATATATATGCCTTGGTAATTTAGAATATATAATTTTCTTCGTTATTTAAATTACCTAATCTTATATATATATGTTGTATATAAAGTCTAATTTTTTTTTCTTTATGAAACCTAATCTTAATGCATTTTTTTTATGGATAATGATACACATATCCTGTAAAGTTATATATTTCGTTACACATTAATGATCTCTGTTATTTAATTTATTATACACTGATAGTTTACAAAAAAAACTAATTACTGTTTTGAACACAAAATTATAACCTACAAAACTCCAAACAAAAAACTATCCATTTAGAATATAGATCAATGTCTCTTGAATACCCAAATAAAATTTCAATTCAATATAATGGTGAACTTTTATAGATCGGATAAAATGACAAAACTGCACACAATACTAAAACTACAAAAAAATAATTCAAAAAAATGAGTTACTGTTTTGGGTACAAAATTAGAATCTATATAACTCCAAATAAAAAACTGACCGTTCAAAACATAAATTAATGTTTCTTGAACATTTAGATAAAATTTCAGCTCAATCTAATGATGAACTTTTGTAGATCGAACAAAATGACAAAGTTATGAATAGTAGCAAAAGGGCAAAATTTTCCAATGTTTTCTTTTCCCTTTCCTACCGATTGACTCCACTCACATGAACTCTACTTTCTGCTATATCATCCCAAAAACATATTTCTTTTGTGTTTAATGAGCTACAAAATCTTGGGCTAAAACAAAGATGATTTTGTGAAAAAATGAACTCTTCTTTGAGATTATGTAGATTCAAGATTTTGATTTGGTGTTTGAATGTACTGATTGATCGGAATAGTGAGAAGGAAAAAGGAAAGTGCTGGGTGTGTTTGGAGAGTGTAAATCGTCAGTGTGTAACGGATTAAATAATGGAGACCATTAATGTGTGATGGAGTATGTAATTTTACATAATATATGTATTATTGTTCTTTTCTATATATATTAGCTTATTTAATTATTAGTAAAATTGTGACAAGCGCTAGAAAAATTAAAAAAAGTTAGGTCATCTATGGGGTATTGGGATTCCGACGTTGCCCGCAAATGCAAAAGTTTGAAATGCTATCTACCAACTAATTAACGAATGGCACACTTAAATTGTGCAGCCTAGAATACGACAATATATGAAAAGTAATTGTACGCAATCATTTATCGGTAAATAGACCTGTCATTCATGTCACCTTTTCTGGGGCACAACTTTTGTATCTTTTTCGCTCAACTTATTTCTGATTTGTGGTCAGTGATTTTTTTTTGTAGAAAGTAAAGTTGGAGAAGATGGCCATGGATGATAGATCAGTCCACCTCTCTCTCTCTCTCTCTCTCTCTCTCTCTCTCTCTCTCTCTCAAGATGAGGGCCTGGAAAAGGGTATATAAAAGGCCAAGGGAGGAAGGGAATTTTTGTATGCAAACAGAACAAAAGCTAGCCCCAAAGTTAGGTGAAAAGATCCATCATCTCTCTTATGAGTTGTTTTCTGAGCTGCAGGGTACAAACACAAATTTGTAAGCCCTTCTATATCCAAATCAAAGCTCTTTTCGCTTTGTATATAATTATTGGTAATTTGTCTTGGTAGTTTCTTGCTTTCTAAATTTGGATCATATATATACATATATATCCTTGTTTCAGGATTCCTTTTTCAGCTTTTATTCTCTGCATACCTGCACGCGCCATTGTCTCAGCCTGGTAATTTCTATCTCCATCCCTTAGCTTATACGGCCACATGCATGGTATACATAGTGCCAATTAACTTCCATGCAACATGCAAGGGTATTGTCTATATATGTGTGTGTCTATATAATTAAGTAGATTAATTATATATAATTTTTAGTAGTTAATTTATGAGTATGTTATTTTTGCAATCTAAATTATATCAATTTAAAAATAAAAATTATTAAATAAAAAAAATCAAAATATTAAAGAGTTTTTTATTTAATAGTAATTACTATATAATTTATTACAATTTAAATAACACAATACCTTTTTTTAATTTTATTTTGATTTTAGATACATTGCCAACGCGGCCAGCATTTAGGCCTTTTTTTTCCCCAAAAAAAAAAAAAAAACTACTGATTGATTTATAATTGACTTTTGACTGTTATTTCCCCTTTATTATTTTTTCTTTCTACATAAAATGGTCAAAATGTACACAACTGACAATCAATGCAATTATTACTACATATTAAATATAAAATACTTTCCGTTTTCCATCCGTCAGCATATACGTTGACAGTAATTTCCATTTTTGTATTTTCCCTGTTGAGGTGACAGTCGCAATTAACCACTTCTACTACTACAATACTTCATGGTATGACAGGATTTCTCATTTATATGTTTTAACTTAACTAATACTCAATTTCTTTAAATTTTCATTAACTTGTAGCCCAGCTGAACTGGCAATGTACACCTAAACCTTGGCCCAAGCCTAAGTTTCCCATAATTTTCCTTTATATTAAAATAATAATAATAACAACAACTTAAGTTGACTTTCCTACTAAATATGTACTGTTAAAGAGCTGATCTTATAATATTATTTCTTTATAGTAATGGTTAACAATCTTCCATCCCATTCATTCTGTTTTTTCTTTTTACTAATGTAAAATACTCTCCTCCTTCCTAATGTTAGTTTGACTTTTTAATTTTAAAATAAATGCTAAAAATTTATCACATTTAACAAATGAAGGTTAATTAACTATCTATGGTTTTAACTGGTATTCCAGTGTTATCTAAGGAATTAAACAGAAAACAACAAGACTACTAAAGAGTTTTGTTCATTAGTTTTTCAGGAGATAGGTAGAAGATTCACAGAAAAAGAGACACATCATACATATTCGTCTCAATTCAATTCAACGGTGATTAAAGAAATACAGACAATTAGTTAATTAAATGTTGTGATGAGTTTGTTCGTACATGAACTTAATTAATCAATTGGGATTCTCTAAGTTAATTAGTAATTTACAGTGTTTATAGCACAACCAGTGGAGGTTTTATCTGTTTAATTAGTACATCATCAAACGGTACAAACAGAATGAAACATATTGCTCAATATCTGCTTAATTTCAATACTACTAGATCTTCGAAAACCAATAAATTCTATCTGAAATTTTATCCAAATGTCCACATCATATATCTTTTCTTCGACCCTCTGTATTACTTTGTCTTGTCATGTAAAATTGTTTAGATATTCTTATTAAGTGTTGATTTATTAAATATATTTATTTTTTTTTCATTATCATTCTTAATATTTTAATTATTAAAACATCTTTATTTTTCTCAATCTCATTAGAAAAGTGGCTTTAATTTTTTGCTAGTGATAGGGGAAAAAGGATCGTCAATATAAGTTGTTTGTTTAATTTAGCTATAGCTAGCTACAATTTTTAATATTTAGATTAAATTTGCTTTGTTCATAGAGTAAACAAAGTTAGTTTGTGATGAGTAAAGTTAAATTGGAGACTTCCTTTGACGACAGTTGAATCAACTCAACTGAGGGAGGTTCAACCTCTGTATCTACGAAAATTTGGATTAATTATTTCTTAAAATCCTCATTTCACCTTCAGCTTTAAGTTATTAAGCTTCTTTTTCTCCCATGTTCTGTACCTAGTCATTGTTTCTCCTACACAAAACATCTCTCGGTTTTCATTGTCCCAAGCACCCTGAAGAACCTTAACATATTCACATCTCTATTTAAGGTTTTGCTTGGTGACACTAATCTTTCCATCTTGCAGTTTTCTTAATTTGCAGATACATCTCTAGCTAGCTTTTTAATTTGTTGTAAGAGAAGTAATTAATTTTTGCATGTAATTAATCCTTTCATTACTTATAACATAGTTGTTATGTAATGTAGCTAACCATCAATTACTTGAAATCTGTTCCACAGTGGCACTATAAGCTTGCGTAACGACGTAGATCAACTTGATCACAGTCTTGTTGCTGTTTGGACTCGATCTGAATATCATGGCTGCTAATAATGCTAATGAAGTTGGAAATCCGCCCATCAGAAAGTGGAAAATGCCACCCTGCGTTTTCTTCCACGATGCAAGGTAACAGAACTACTAGTCCACCTCATCTTTGGTCATAGTTAATTATTCTCCAGAACCTCTTGATACTAACAATATGACTGTTTGATTGTGCCCTTGAATTAACGTTCAATTCCAGACTCGTTTTCAAGATGGATTCACTTGGTATGGAGATACTCAAAATTGCATTCCCTGCTGCCCTGGCATTGGCTGCTGATCCCATTGCTTCCCTCATTGACACTGCCTTCATTGGTCGTCTAGGTATTACATACACATATACATATATGCTTAATTTTCTTTAATAATTTCCGATATATTATACGTATTGTCCTACTTTGTGAAATTAGTAAATTTGATCCTACGCGCTTACATGATATGCCAATTAATTAATTACTCTGTTTTATATAATAACATTTTTGCAGGACCTGTGGAGCTGGCCGCTGTAGGAGTTTCCATAGCCATATTCAATCAGGCATCCAAGATCACCACATTTCCAGTGCTTAACATTACTACCTCTTTTGTTGCTGAAGAGGATACTATTAAAAAACTTAGCATGGAAGCAGAAAATGAGAAAATCAAAGACGTGGCGCCAGAGGATGCTATGGCTGATAACATGGAAAAGGGCATTGATGTCAGTAGTTCAGCTAATAATGAAAAAACAAAAGAGTTGAAGCTGCCAGAGGATGCCAGTACTGTTGATAACTTGGGAGAAGCCATTGCTATTCCTACAAATGCTAATGCAGTAAAGCCAGAAAAAGGTATATATCCACAGTTCACAATAGAATTCTGAATCAAAAGGGAATCGAACTCCTTCTCAATTTTTTTTTTCTTAATTAAAATCAGATACAAATAGAGATACATGCAAGTCTTCCTCTGCATCTGCAGGTGGCAAAACTGATGAATCGACCAAGAAAAAGAAGAAACATATCCCTTCTGCATCAACAGCAATAATTATTGGCCTAATGCTTGGTCTTTTGCAAGCAGCATTGCTCATGTTTGCAGCAAAACCTCTCCTAGGTCTAATGGGTGTGAAGCATGTGAGTACTTCTGTCTTAATGCTATACACTGATCTTAAAAGAGAGAAAGAGAGAGAAAAAAAAAGGGTGACTGAATTATGTTTTTCATTAATTGAACAGGATTCTCCAATGTTAGTCCCAGCGCAAAAATACTTGACACTGAGATCATTAGGAGCTCCTGCAATTCTTCTATCTTTGGCCATGCAAGGGGTGTTTCGAGGGTTTAAGGATACAAAAACACCTCTATATGCTACAGGTAAACAAAAAATTTCATGACTCTATTATTAATGCACACGTTAATAACATATAGTTGTCATTAGCTACTAACTACTGATTCTTGGTTTGCTCCAATGTATAGTTGCGGGAGATATGATGAATGTGATCTTGGATCCAATACTTATCTTTTCCCTTCATCTAGGAGTCGCTGGTGCAGCCATTGCACATGTTCTATCTCAGTAAGTTGGTCCTGGAAAGGAATGGTATATATTTTCCTAGCATTTTTAATAATTAATTAAAGTAAAACGATTTTAGTTATCAATTTAATTTTATGCATATCTTTGGCTTTTTCATGCTATATCTTCATTAACGAATAATTATTTCAGGTACTTAATTGCATTGATCCTCCTCTGTCGATTGGTAAAAGAAGTTAATCTTTTACCTCCAAGGATGAAAGACTTGCAGTTTGGTCGGTTCCTTAAAAACGGTAAGTAATTAAGAATTAATTAACCAGCCATGCATCATGATATATACTTGTATTTGTAATCATCCACACATAAATAATTTTTATTTGATTTGATTTGATTGGATTTGATGTGATGGACATTACAGGTTTTATGTTATTGACAAGAGGAATAGCAGTGACATTCTGCGTGACATTGGCGGCATCACTGGCTGCCCGGCTGGGATCGACACCAATGGCTGCATTTCAGATCTGCTTACAAGTGTGGCTTACCTCATCACTTCTTGCTGACGGATTAGCCGTTGCCGGCCAGGCACTCCTCGCCTGTGCATTTGCTGAGAAGGATATGAACAAGGTGACTGTAACAGCAACACGAGTATCGCAGGTACATAACAGTAACACTTACGTACTAGCAGTTAAGATATCATCAGTAACTGATCAGAACTAATTATATACTATAGATATGTATATATATATATATAGTTAGTGATTGAAATTATATATAGTTGATGAAATTAAATCCATAAATATGTATATGTTTATGTATATGCAGATGGGTTTTGTTCTGGGAATGGGACTCTCCCTGGTTGTTGGAGTTGGTCTATACTTTGGATCAGGGGTCTTTTCCAACGATCCAAAGGTTTTACAGATTATATGCATTGGAGTACCGGTAATTAATTACATCTCTTTTTTTAACTCTCATATCGATTTACAGCATTCTGAATTAATTAATTTCTAGTTATCAATTAACTGAAACTGAATGAATTTGTACTTTTTTTATTATCAACTCGATCGATCATCAGTTTGTGGCAGCCACACAACCAATCAACACAATAGCCTTTGTTTTTGATGGAATAAACTTTGGGGCGTCTGATTTTGCATACACTGCTTACTCCATGGTGCGTACGGAGTTTATATAAATCTCCCTTTTTTTTTTTTTCCTTTTTTTGCCTTTCTTTCTTTCAGAATTAGAAAAGGACACATGCATGAGTACTCTCTATCTCTGTATATATATATATATCAGATCCAATCCATTCATGTATGTATATATATAGAGTAGTAGTGTATGTTTTTGGTTGAATTAATTAAGTAACTAATCACATTCCTATATGACATATATATTTATGGATGATGCATGGATCATTACTACGTACGTAATTACTAATTAAGTTATTAATTCAGGTATTGGTTGCGGGAGTGAGCATTGGTTCCTTATTCCTTCTGTTTAAAAGCAATGGTTTTGTGGGAATCTGGATTGCCTTAACCATTTACATAACTCTGCGCATGTTTGCTGGTATATGGAGGTAAATATTACTTAGTTTAATTACTTTTACTACTTATCCATCCCATTTTTGGGTACTTATAATTACGTTTAATTAATTAATTAATTAATTAATTAATGTGTGTATATATATGATGTTTGCACATGCAAACAATAAATAATAAGTAAATACATATTAATGAATGGTGTTGTATTGTGTTGGTGCAGGATGGGAACTGGAACAGGACCTTGGCACTATCTCAGGAAATAACATCCATTGGATTTCTTACTATCCAGAAAAGTGTTTTAAATATATGTATACCACCTACTAGCTGCTCCTGCCATTGTTATTCAGCTATTTTTATTTTTCAATATTATGTTCGGATATTTATATATCAGTTATCAATATAATAATAACTAATGTCATTTGTCTTGTCTGTATTACCAACATTGCCCGTCCCTGCTTGTATTTTGTTTTTCACTCCCAAGCAGGCTATCTGTGCATTGTTAAAAATATAAAATAAAAGCGATGCTAGCTATCGTTATCTCATCAGCTTCACTTGAAAATTTTCTTCTTACAAATTACATATTGCAAATTACACTGTAAGATCTTCTTTATATATATAAATTACCCAATTTTGGCCAAAACATTTCTGATAACTGTTTTAAAATCTTCATTTTAAAGTTTCTAGTTCTAGTTACATAAGGTTTGTTTGCTTTGTTTAAAAAGTCAAGTTCATTAATTTGTAATTTCCTGTCAATCTTGTCTTTGTAAAGTTTGATCTTCTTTGCTTTTCTACTTAGTGTCAAACTACATTAACATATTAGTGTAGAAATTCAAGACTTTCCATATTGTTATCTTTTTCTATTTACTAAAATAGCTTACCTTTTTTGGTAAAAATTGTCTACTATTTAGTTAACAATTGTTTACTATTTTATCCTTTAGTTAATATTTAGTTTTTGTATTCTTATTTTTTATCTGTTTTTTTATCTGTTATCTACTTAACCAAGAAAGCAAACTACGTAGCAAATGAAAAAAAGATAACAATATGAAAAGTCTTGACTTTTTACACTAATATATTAATGTAGTCTGACATTAAGTGAAAAAGAAGATCAAAACTCTAATATATAAAGATTAATGGGTAATTTATAAATATTTATATATATATAAAAGGAAGGAAGGATCACAGGATCAGGGACACCCAACATAAATAAATGATAAAACAAACATTAATTTGAAATCTGAAAACTGAAATTGATCACAAAGCCCAGCCAACCGGCCAGCCTTCTTTGTAATCATTTCATTTACGTCTAGTCTAATCTAATCTAATCTAATCTTATCTTATCTTATCTGGCTTTGTGTTTTGTGGGTTTTCCTTTGACACAATGTTTAACCAGCTGTTTTATCCCCTTCTTATGGCTATGGAGCTTCTTCTCCTCATTCTCATTCTCATCCTCTCGCCTCTTCTCTGCCTCTAATTCTTCCTCCAATTGCAAGCACACCTGTGTTGTTAATTTGTGTGTTTCAGTTAATAAATATAACATCAATATATATATATATATATACATATATATAATGGGTTACTAACTAGCTAGCTAGCTATCTAGTCTGTTGTGTTACCTTTAGCACGCGGTCCTCCAAGTGGTGAAGCCTGTCAATCAGTGTTCCTTTGGCTTCAATCTCCATCAACACATCATCAATGGGACGGCAGTGTTTCTCCAACCACTTTGGTGACACATCGGACGACGACGGATATTGACCATCACTGCTCAGCGTCCCACTTGATTCACAAGAACTCTTCGCTGACTTATTATTGTATCCTCTAATTTCTTCTAATTGCCTCACCTGACCAGTGACCACCACCATCATCATTTACATTTACTTATTTACATGTAAATGAAAGACCCAAAAAAAAAAAAAAAACCTACGTAACATTAAATATATACCACGTTGTCTAGAATATCTAGTCTTGAGAGAATGGGCCTCTCAATGATCGCCATTGTCTCTCAATGATATTGATTTTTGCTAGAACCAAACTTTTCTTCTTCCTTTGCTTCGGAGGTAAGGTACGGAAACGAAAGTAAAAGGCCGCGACGACTCTTGAATAGGGGTAAATGGGGTGAAGCACAAGAGACGGTTCTGTACGTAAGGGCACGCGTCCAGGAAACCGGTAAAAGGTGTCAGTCTTTATGCCCTACACGTGTAATTGGTTCAGCATTACCTCGTGAAGATGAGGATTGTGATAAGGATAACTCGGCTATTTGTGCACGCGTCTGTTCTGCATGTTGAGCACTCCATCACCAATATTATTATGGCTCTAATTTTGGTACTTGCAATTTGTCACCGATATCAAGTATTGTCATTATCAGGCACAAGATATTTCTTTCTTCTTTTTTAACGTTCGCAGCCCACTTCCTGTAAGGAATTCCTAAATAAATTTTGTTGTGAATAAACTATAACTAACCTGTGTTGATAATTAGTAACCTTCCAGATGTAGAGTGGTTGGAAGAACACAGGTCATCATAGTGACAAAGCAATTGGACAATTGAACACCGAAAATATAAATATTTGCCTTGATTTTTAGTACATCCACATCCACTACATACATAAATAAGTATATCTACCACCCAACCTCATTAAAAGTGTATCCAAACTATATATTACAGAACCTCCCGTCCTGTCCTTAACCCACACTAAAACTGCACATATGTACTACGTGATTGTGAATTATTCACATACTCAAACTAAACACCATCCGAGAAGAACACGGCCAAAAAATAATAACAATAATAATAAACCACCACCAAGCCAACCAGGTACATTTTATCCTCTTTTTAACAGTTGATTCCACACTTTTCAACGTCGGGACCAGTCACTCGCGTGGTAAAGGGATCAACCCTCACCCACAACAAAGAGAAGATGGAGGCAAGAAGAATCGACCAAACCACCACAATGGTGGGTGTCCGGTTTTGGCGTCCCATCAAACCTTTTAGGAAGGGGTAGAGATGGATGATCACCCAGAATGCAAAGAAGAGCTTCCCAAACAAAGGACCCCATGATTGATACCCACTGTTTATGGCATATGAGATTCCAGCAACCACGCCAACCAAGTTTATTATTAGTAGAGTTGTTGGTGGGATAAGAAGGGTCGTCCATTTGAACATGTACAGTTCCGCATAATCCCCGTCCTCATCTGATGCCTTTGACGTGACAGTGAAGTTGGTGTCAATGCCAGCTAGTACTTTGAGAAGACCTTGGAACACGGCAAAGAGATGGGAGGAGACACCACCAATCACCCAAAATTGTTCATTTCTCCACCATTCGTCGATTCCGACACCACTCCATCTCATCTCCAAAATACCAGTTGCAAAGATGGAAAGAAAAAGTGATATGAACCATATACTTGCGAGGTTACTGATCTGCACGCATATCAGAGAAATCCAAGAAAAAAAAAAAGATAATTAAAATATTGTACAACCATGTTAACATATTATTCATCTTTTTAATCAAGGTATATAACTCTAATAATACACTTAATCAATGTACATAATAAGTCTAATAAATGAGAAGGATTACGGTCACAACAAACCTGAGGAATAATGAACTTGTTGGTAAGCAGACAGACTGCTGGCAATGTACAATACATGAGAAGAGGAATGGAGGTGATGGGGTAGATCGTTGTGTTCACGTAAGCAAATCTTTCAAGCCATTTCAGCCGACCACCATACCCATACCAGATAGGACAGTGACGGCTGAAAAGAATTTCCACAGAGCCAAGGGCCCAACGAAGCACTTGGTTTAGACGATCTGAAAGATTAATAGGGGCAGATCCCTTGAATGCTGGAAGCTTTGGCATGCAGTAAATTGAACGCCACCCACGGGCATGCATCTTGAATCCTGTAAGAATATCTTCTGTAACAGAACCATAGATCCATCCAATCTGCAAACAAAAGGGAATTTTTAATGTACATGCAACAGATACATTGCTCCATAATAAGACAGGCAAATAGCCAGCAATCAAATTATACAAGCGGCAAGCACATGCAAGAGGGATACCTCACTTCCCCAGTCTGTTTTGTCTTCATACCCACAGCTGATAACATGAATAGCTTCTTTGAGAAGGGTTTCAGGTGTTGCAGACTGTGGAACACCACCATTCTCCATAAGTGTGGAGGCAACAAAAACAGCAGACTGACCAAACCGCTTCTCCAGAGTCATTTGGGACATTTGTAGTGACTTTTCATCATCAAATCCAGCACCTAATTTAAATTGCACAAAGAGATATTGTCGTGACTACATATACATAATGAAGCCAAAAGGCATTCAACTGCCATATCAACCAGAAAAACTAGAAGATAATGCTACAAATAGTTTACCTTCAACCCCCTCTTCTATATCCTCCAGACTGAATATTGGCACAGTTGGGTCGACATTCTTTCCAGCTTTCTTCTTGTCTGAGCCCTTTTTACTAGATTTTGAACTTTTCTTTTGCGAACCTCCACAAAGTGAAGACAGCAGCCCAGGTTTCCTATTCTTGGGTTTGAGTGGTGGTTCATAACCATACAGTGCTGTTCTGTTAAAGACACATCCCGTGCCGACATAAACAGGTCCCTGAATACCATCTAGACCTCTCAAGTTTATCTGAAATCCACAAATTCAGAAATTTGAAAAGGGTTGTGAGCAGAGATTAATATGGTAGGATTTTCATCCAAACCACTAGCCCAACAAGGCATCAAACTCACAGACATGCTAATTGGAAAATGATCCGCTAATGAGTAATGTCATATGTGAAAGAAGATATACTTTGCTGAATTAAGATAAGAAGCTTACATCAAAGAAAACAGTATTGCGGTTGGCATATCTATCATTTCTATCAATTCCATCAAATCTTTGGGGAAATTGCACATAACAAACATGTTTCCCAAGGTTTGGGTCCATCAGAAAACACATAGATTCCCTTATGGCTTTGCTATTATTTATGTAGTGATCACAATCAAGATTCAACAAGAAAGGTCCATTAGTGAGGACTGCTGACACCCGGACCTGCAAGATATTCACTAACTCAGGTGAAAAAACAATGAAGTCCATGGAACAATAATTAGAATCTTTATGATAAGTTACTTACGAGTGCATTCATTGCACCAGCTTTCTTGTGGTGCTGGAAGCCAGGACGCTTTTCACGAGAAACATAAACTAATCTTGGCAGTTCATTACCCTCCGCGTCAAGCCCTCCATTTTGACCTAAGAAAACCTATAAAATTGTACAAATCTTGGTGACTAAATAAAGGGATCATTGTACATATGGAAAATAAACAGTGACTTACTAATCACATTCCTGGGCAACGTATCTATCATTGTTTCTTACCTGGATCATTCCTGGATGGTCTCTGGTGTTATTGCCCGGCCATGGCGTACCATCCTGCATGACCCATCCTTCTTCAGGAACTTTCTGAGCCTTCACAACAAGCCCATTAATTCTAACTTTAAATTCTTCGTATTCTCTCTGCAATGGAGAAGAAAAGGGTGACATTCTGAATATAATTGGGAAGTATCCAGTATCCAAACTAAACACCAACCTTCATAGCTCTACGGTCTTTGACGAATGAAGGTTGAACTTTATCCTTCAAGTAGTCAATCTTTTGGGCAAAGTACCACTCAGGAGCCCGAGGCTCAATGGTATATTTCTTGCAGAAAGGTACCCATTTCCTGGCAAATTCTGATGTTTCTGAGAGTGCTTCAAATGTTAACATTGCAGCACCATCATCAGAAACATAGCATGAGACCTTGTCAACTGGGTAGTCCACTGCAAGGATGGACAGCACGGTATTGGCTGTCACAAGAGGAGGCTCCTTTAATGGGTCGACAGTACTCACAAAAATGTCAACAGCAGCTAACTGTGAAGGTTCTCCTTCACGATCATATCTGTTACTCACAAGGAAATTGCAAACATGAGAAAAACATGGTTGTGAAATGAAACATTGGAGGAAGAATGTAATCACTCAGAATGACATCTGTAGATGGACAGGAAGAACATATACTACCTCAGAGCAAGCCTGTCGAGATATGTTTCACGGTTCACAGGGAGCCACTTAGGGAATTGATCCAGTATCCAGGACATTGCAAACCATACCTCACAGATCACAGATACCAGCCACAGAGCATAGGCATTTGGAACGGGATTTGTTATTCGATAGTGCAAGAAAATGCAGAGAATGACCAACCGCAGAAAAATGACCATCCTATAAGGGTTTATCCTGGATGATGGAATGGAGACCTTCCTTGAGAGAGGCTGCCGAGCTTCATCATTCCTGCAGAAACATGGTATAAGCATGGGTTAGCATTTATTTGACAGGAAATAGGAAAAATTAAGATGCACACACAGCATAGAGCATAAGAGGATTTCTAGCAATCACATGATTTTTGAAGCTAATTGTGGATGGATAAGAAAAAGTAAAAACAAAATAGTAACACAAAGAATCCAGAAACTGATTAGATGGGAACTCACAGTAAGGAATCATCTACAAGCACATCAGTGCTGGCATCAATATCTCCAGCACCTCTTTCAGAAGCAGCCTGGCCAGTGCTCATGGGCATAACATTCTTCTCCTGCTTCATTTTCCAGCCATCAACTCTCTCTTTCCAGGCTACATTGCCCAACCCTGGGGAACCAAACTCTCTTACTGGATCCACACCCCTAACATTAGCTGCAAAAGAAATTCCAACATTTAAATTAATAAATCATAGGAATACATGATGAATCAACGTTAAATCACGAAAAAAGACAGATACACACGCTTTCCACTAAGTCCAGGAGATGCCATAGAAAGGCGCTCAGGTGATGCAGCAGATAACTCCCCCGAAACCTAGAATGTGTCAATAGGGAAAAAAAAGTTAGTTTAAATTCATTATCCCATGCAAGGGAGGATCACAAAGCAGGCTGAATGATGCAGTCAAGGAAGCATCCTTGTAAGAACTTTTTATATTATTTAGGATTAATATGTAATTATGTTTGGGTTCAGTTTCCTGTTTTTTTTTTGTAAGGATTTGTTCTAGTTTTGTATTCCACTAAGAGTCTTTGGTAGTCATATTAGGGTTTTAGAATCTATAGAAATGGTATTATGCGGTAGGTTTAGGTACATTTTGATGAATTTGAATAAAGATTTTCCAGCTTTTCTCTCCCAATTCTTCTGGTTGTCTTCCCCTTTCTTCCTGTAAATCCACCATCCTCCTAAATTCCTCTGTTTCTCATCCCTTTCTGTCTATTTCTCTCCCCACATTGTTCTATTTCTCTTGCCCTAAATCACAAGAAGTAGCTTATTGACCTACCTCCTGTCCACTGGTGAGCAGTGGAATATGGTTATGAGAGACCTCTTTATCATAATTTGGAGCACCAACATCCTCTCCTCTACCATATGCCATTTGCCAGCTCAACATTCTTTCTGCAACTTTCTGCTTCTGATTTTGATTTTCAGAAGGGTAATTGATATCGCTGGCACCATCATCAGCATCGCCATTTTCTTCAGTGTCTCCAAGGATAGCAGGGCTACCTGCAGACGCCGAACAATCACTTAGGAATTGGATTCTTTTATTTTCTTTCATATAATTACAACCAACACCAGTAGGTTTTGCAACATTCATGAATTGTGTTAAGAAAGTATATATGAAAAATTACATTACTAACACGTCATCGATGACATATAGGTGAATAAAAGTTAAAATCATCATATTAGCACTTCAGCAATGCATTATTATATCTATTTTTAGAGCTTGTGACCAAAAATTGGAAGGGAAAGAACCTTTATGCCTCTTGTATCTGGTCTTGCATTGAGGGCATGACTGATTCCCATCCTTCCTCTCATATTCATAGCATGGCCTGCAGACGGGAAATGCACAGACATTGCAAGCTACAAATGGTTCATCATCCGCAGTTTTGCCAACGGTATCACCACATATCTGACAAACCTGACCACCAATACTCTTGATGGCCTTCACCTGAGCAATCAAGAACAAAGGATCATACATTTAGCAGGCCAAGGAATCTTCTAGCAAAAATGCATCC